ATAGAAAACAACAAAGCTTTTGACTTTATCACAGACCTTTTATCATAATAAACTTCATTACCAAACATTTTTACAAATGCATTAAAAAATTTTGGACCAAGACAACAAAACTGATGCCTACTAGTTTCCTTTTTAAAAAAGCTTTCTGCTAACAAGTAATATTGTGCTGATCGAGATATTCTATTGACAGGTTTCATTTTAAACATGTACGGATATTTAAAAACAAACATAATCAAACAGTATACGTGCAATTGATTGAAGGTTAAAAGGTTTTCTTGTTCAAAAAGATAACTAACTCTATCATATTTTTTTAATCCAAAAACTGTCCTCAGTGCATGTCTTTGGTTCGTAATGACAGGTTGTAATATGGTAGGATAAGTACCCCCATAATGTACTATTCCATATCTCATCACACTTTCAAACCAGGAGATGTATACCTTTTTTAAATGCTCACTCCTAATGTTGTCTCTTAAGTGATATAAAGCATAATTTATTTTCCTTAATTTAATTGAGAGTTGTTTTACATGCTGCTCCCACTTTAAATGATGATCAACAAACAATCCTAGATATTTAACATATTCTACTACTTCAATACAACTGCAAGAACAATTATACAAACAAGAGTGTTTATGGCACAATAAATTAAATTCATTTTGTAAATTTTCTCGAGATTGATTATAATCAAAGAAAAATAAACATTTAGACTTTAAGGAGTTTATTAACAATCTGTTTTCAATTAGCCAATTTGATATCTTGTCTAAATCTTTTCTTATTTTTAGTTTCAGCGACTCTTTATTGAAAGCTGAGCACACAAGAGCTGTGTCATCAGCATAGGCAAATATTTTTGAATATAAATCAAGCTCCAGCAAGTCGTTTATATATATCAAAAAAATAATGGGGCCCAAAACCCCTCCTTGAGGGGTGCCAAATTGCAAATCAAGCACTTCACTCAAAACATTATTAACTTTCACAGCCTGCTTTCTTCCTTTACAAAAAGATTGCAACCACTCTAAAGCTCTACCACCTATACCATATTTTCTAAATTTTGAAAACAGCACATTGTGATCCAAAACATCGAATGCTTTTTGAAAATCTAAATACAAAGACAATGTATATTTACGTTTGTCAATGGCATCAGTGATAGTACTGACATGTCTTTCTAAAGCAAGATCAGTGCCTTTACCTGGCAAAAACCCATATTGATTTTGAGAGAAAAGAGATCTACTAGAAAAATATTCCATGAGCCTCTTTTTAACCAAAGTCTCAAAAACTTTAGCTACAGTACTTATAACGGAGATAGGCCTGTATGATGAAATTTTAGATAAACTTCCAGACTTATGAATCGGTACTACCGATGCTATCTTAAACCTGTCTGGGTAGACACCTTGATCCAAGGAAATTCTAATTATTTTACATAACAATGGGGTGAATACATCTAAGTTATCCTTAATTATAAAAATATTAATACCATCTATCCCAGCACTAGCCTTATTTTTTAAAGATTTAACTATATCTACAATGTCTGACTCAATAAATACAAAATCTCTAATAAAAATATCATAAGTACTATAATCTTCCACAAACATATCACAGCCAAAGTTCTCATGCTTTAATTCAGGTACAATTTGTGTAAAATATTCATTAAATTTATTTGCAATAACTTTCTCACTGCCACTACATTCAATAAGGACATCATCTATCTCAAAACTAGATAAATTACTTTTATTACTTCTAATTATTTTTTTTATAACACTCCAATAAACCTTTGAATCCCCATTAGACCTCTCAATCAGACTAGAGTAGTAATTTTTCTTAGCTAACCTAATTTTTCTAGTCACCAGCCTGGAAATGTTTTTATATTGCATTTTCAACTGAACATTGTTTTTATCTTTTGAAACCATGCTATGAAGTTTGTTTTTATTATTTATTAAATTTATGAGTTCATTGTTTATCCACTCATTCCTTTTTTTATTTTTGTTGTTCAGTTTTTTTAAATAACAAGAACTATCAACACATTTTTGATAGATATCATAAAAATTTTCTACACATTTGTTCACATTATCTTCATCAAAAACAGGTTGCCAATCGGCCAGTTTAAGCTTACGACGAAACAAATCTTTATCCAAGACACTACTAAATGCTATACTATTATTACTATTAATTAATTCAGACAAAAACAAACTAATTCCGTAATGATCTGTTATACCTATTTTATCAACAGTATGAACAAAAGCAATTCTTTTTGTATTTCTTATTAACAAATGGTCAATACAAGATGCACTATTATTTATCTCCCTAGTAGGCTGATTAATTAAATTAGTAAAACCATATGCAGAAATTAAGTTAAGGTAATCAGATTTAGATCCAGAATCATTTAATAAATCTATGTTAAAATCTCCAACAAAAATTGTAGGGTCATTTGATTCTAATAACAAATTTTCAAAATCGGATTTGAAATTATTATAACTGTGTTTACATTGACGATAAACTCCAAACAGTGAAAGTGTAGTTGAGGTATTTTTATGTGATAAGGTGAAGACGACATTGAGAATCTCAGCTGTCGGCAGAAGGATGGGTCGGCATGAGTAGGATAGGGCAGAGTTCACATAGATAACAACTCCACCAGCCTGGTTGTCTGGCCTGTCTCTCAACAACAAGTTGTATCCTGGAATGTTGTACTTATTTTCTTCTCCACTCTTAATCCATACTTCCGTTAACACAACAATGTCATAAGAAAATTTTAAAGTGTTTAGGTACAAAACAAGTTCATCAAAATGTTTTCTTAGACTTCGAATATTTAATTGAAATATTTTAAACTCTTCATCAGTCCTACAGCTACTCATGATAAATCAGCTGTATTGAAAAAATCTTACTTTACAATCAACACATTTTTTACTCAGAATTTACAGGCATAAGTTTTTTTATATCTTCAAGTGAAAAAATACGGATACACTTTCCATCATCACTTTTTCTGACAAGAACTTTACCTTCCACAGACCATACATGTTTGAAACCATTTTCTTTGAGTTTTTTAGCTTGAAACAGTAGGTTACGATTGTATGGAGTTAAATGGTCGTTGACATACACGTTAGTAGGTGGAATACCGTGAATGAAATCCGTTGATTTTATGGTAGCCTTTTTACAGTTTTTTAAGAAAGAATCACGGATTTTTCTATTGGAGAACTGAGCAATAATTGGCTTAGGCCCTTTATCTCTCATTGTTGGAACACGGTGCATAGCTTGCACGTCGTTGACAAAGTCAATGGCTACACCAGATATTGTTGACAGCTTTTCAATTATTTCTGCCATGTTCTCTGTAGCAGACTCTGGCACACCAGCTATTTCAACATTCCTATTCCTATTGTATTGCTCAAGGTTCTCGAACTGTGCCATGGCTTGAAATGATTGCACAGACAACTGTGCCATGGCTTGAAATGATTGCACAGACAATTGGGCCATGGCTTGAAATGATTGCACAGACAACTGTGCCATGGCTGGAAATGATTGCACAGACAACTGTGCCATGGCTTGAAATGATTGCACAGAGAACTGTGCCATGGCTTGAAATGATTGCACAGACAACTGTGCCATGGCTGGAAATGATTGCACAGAGAACTGTGCCATGGCTTGAAATGATTGCACAGACAACTGTGCCATGGCTTGAAATGATTGCACAGAGAACTGTGCCATGGCTTGAAATGATTGCACAGACAACTGTGCCATGGCTGGAAATGATTGCACAGAGAACTGTGCCATGGCTTGAAATGATTGCACAGACAACTGTGCCATGGCTTGAAATGATTGCACAGACAACTGTGCCATGGCTTGAAATGATTGCACAGACAACTGTGCCATGGCTTGAAATGATTGCACAGACAACTGGGCCATGGCTGGAAATGATTGCACAGAGAACTGTGTCATGGCTGGAAATGATTGCACAGACAACTGTGCCATGGCTGGAAATGATTGCACAGACAACTGGGCCATGGCTGGAAATGATTGCACAGAGAACTGTGTCATGGCTGGAAATGATTGCACAGACAACTGGGCCATGGCTGGAAATGATTGCACAGAGAACTGTGTCATGGCTGGAAATGATTGCACAGAGAACTGAGACATGGCTGGAAATGATTGCACAGAGAACTGTGTCATGGCTGGAAATGATTGCACAGAGAACTGAGACATGGCTGGAAATGATTGCACAGAGAACTGAGACATGGCTGGAAATGATTGCACAGACAACTGTGCCATGGCTGGAAATGATTGCACAGAGAACTGAGACATGGCTGGAAATGATTGCACAGAGAACTGTGTCATGGCTGGAAATGATTGCACAGAGAACTGAGACATGGCTGGAAATGATTGCACAGAGAACTGTGCCATGGCTTGAAATGATTGCACAGAGAACTGAGACATGGCTGGAAATGATTGCTCAGAGAACTGTGCCATGGCTTGAAATGATTGCACAGACAACTGTGCCATGGCTGGAAATGATTGCACAGAGAACTGTGTCATGGCTGGAAATGATTGCACAGACAACTGTGCCATGGCTTGAAATGATTGCACAGACAACTGTGCCATGGCTTGAAATGATTGCACAGAGAACTGTGTCATGGCTGGAAATGATTGCACAGACAACTGTGCCATGGCTGGAAATGATTGCACAGACAACTGGGCCATGGCTGGAAATGATTGCACAGACAACTGTGCCATGGCTGGAAATGATTGCACAGAGAACTGAGAAATGGCTGGAAATGATTGCACAGAGAACTGTGCCATGGCTTGAAATGATTGCACAGACAACTGTGCCATGGCTTGAAATGATTGCACAGACAATTGGGCCATAGTTGGACATTATTGTACACACAGTTGAGTCATGGCAAGTAATGTTTGTATAGAAACTTGTATTATGGTTGATATTATGTGTACAAACTATAGGGTTATGGTGAGTAAAATTTTGTACGCACAACTGTGTCATTGCGTGCAATGTGTGTCCACAGGTGTCCAGATCTGACGACCGTATAGTGACTCTCCTGAACGTAGATCGTCGCTCCACAGGAGAGTTCAAATGTGAGGTGTCTGCGGACGCTCCCCTCTTCCACACGGAGATACAATCAGCCACACTCAGGGTTGTAGGTAGGAAACAAATCTTAGAGTTATTAGATATAGATTAGACTCAAGGAGTACGATGGTATGTAGTAGAGTGAAAGTATGTGGCTCAGTGTATAGTGCTGAGGACTTAAAAAAATACACCAATTACATGCGTTTACGTCCCAGTTTTGTAACTAAAATTTTTCAGTTTACTTGATACTTGACCGGATAAGTAGCTAAGTAGTTATAGCACTCGTCTGACGATCAAAAGGTTGCCAGTTCGAGCCTGAGAAAAGTCATTAGCTTTTTGATAGTTCGAAACTGGACACAGCTGTTCCTGATATTTGGGCTTCAAAATAATGATCCTGGCTAACGAAACAGCTGATCTTAGTCAGTAACATAGCTACATACATCATTTCACGTCATTCTATACTCATCGTTCATTCATGTTTTGGTTAAAATACGTACCTTGGTGGATTAGCCTTGAGTGTTGCCCCTATCTCAATGATTGGTAATTTATAATTGATAATTATACTGGACCCCCCCTTGCTTATGTTTTTTATGTCCAACTTAGGTTATTCTTAAGAATTAATGTTAAAACCTTACCAATGGTTAACAACTGGTTAGTAAGTTTGCTAAGCGGATATTACTTCATTGCCACTATAGATGTAAATATTGCTATTTTAAGATCTGTAAATTGGAATAAACTTTTACCAATATTAAGTAAAGGTAGAGGCAGAATGACTAATTCTTACGTGATTGAGTTGTTGAACAATTTTTAAAAGTAGAACATTTGCAACGAGAGCTATCAACGTCGAAATAGATTAAGAAATATTTCGTACAACAGTTTACTTTTTGACGTGGTGTGATACTGAATTTTTACTGGGTGGCAATTTTTTACAGTGCTGTGGTCATCTTCAGCGTATGTGTTTGTCCACATCTAGAAATACAGCTGGACTAGCACTGACATGGCAAATCTGCTAAAAAAACCAACACGATGTACAACTTCGTTATGTTGTTACCAGCTAGGGAAATCAGCTGATTGGCTCGAGGCTTTATTTATGCACAATCCCACAATCCACTGTCCAAAGTACTTTATCCCCCAGTAAAAATGGTGAATAATGTCTAATATTTTTTTCTTCACTCCTACTGGTTCTATATGTCTGTATTTCTATTTTAGAGGTTTGCCTAAATATAGTTAATATTTTATACATATGCTTTAAACGCAAATCGTAAATTGGGAGACACGTGGTCCTAAATAATTGACACCTTAACCTTAACTATTCTCACAATTGTACGGATTGATGTAGCTTCATCATTCTTATGTCATCTAAGGACATCCCTTAAGCTCCGGTCTCCTTAAAAAATCTCGAGGTAAAATAGACTTTAAAAACATCTGACTAACCTGCTTATTATTTCATTTGTGTAAAAAAATTATTATTTCCCTACAGATGTTCCAGTTGGAGAGCCCGAAATATCGACGAAGAAAGTCAGATATTCAAGTGGGGAGCAAATTCAAGTGAATTGTACAGCGCCACCTTCCAGTCCAGCTGTAAACATTTCGTGGTACCTCAACAATCATCTGGTGAGTCAAAATATATTTTGTCCTGAATTTGTCATACTTTGTATTACAAAAACTCATTGTAAAAACAAATCACAGTTGTTGCTCCATATTCTACTTATATTCTTTAATTGAAGATTCTAAATATTTTCTTAGTAATACAAGTTGTGTGATTTATTTGATAGCAGGAACCTAGCAATGGAAAATATCAAAATGTTAGTATATTTAACTCTATTTCAATTAGCTTATTAACTTAACGTTAACATCATTATTTAGGTATATGTCTAATCCATTTTAAGCTGCGTTTATGAACCTAACTAGCTATCTGGTTAGAAAATATCCTGCAAAGGTTTTGATTTTGTGTGTTAAAACCAAAAAAATATACTCTTTTTTAACAAATAATTTTGTGAAACAGAAAAAGTTGTATTATCATCGCAATTTTGTGATAACAATTTATTACATACTAAATAATGACTATCATGGCACTTTATTCACACTTAGAACATTAGAGCTATATCACTATCGAATCTCAAAGCTTAAAACATTACGGTTTAACTTTGATTGCTCCAAAAAAAGTTGCTACTTTTTCCTCCACTCAATCTTCCGAACTAGGTCAGCCTGACAGAATAATTTCCTACTATATCTTTCCCTCTGTCGCTGTTGACTGAACAGCATTTTACTTATAAAAGATATACGAGACCAAACCTTGAAGGCTTTACTAGCGAGTTAATACTAAAAACTTTAATACATTGTTAAAAACGTAGTCTGCTGAATAACAACAAATAGTCCGTTGACAAAATTCACAACAACAAAAACCATCTAGTTTGTAAATTGTAGTAGATTGACAGTCACATTAATTAATTGATAACTTAAATCATCGCATGGATTTAATCTACTGTAAGAATACAGATTTCAAAAATAATTTTGACCCACCAGCTCAATAATAACGTAATGAACAGTAAACTATATTGCACCAAGCTAGTTGTACTGTAAGTAAATATGGGGTTTCAAAAATATTAAATTTTAATTAATATTCGAAAAGTGGAAGATAGATCTGCCAATTTGGGTACGGAACCAATCATAGCTATAACAATATGAAACCCAATCACAACTATCAGGTGGCCGTATTTCTATTAGTTATAAATTATTAATCCATTTTAGTAGCACCAAGAGCATATTTCATTTTGATATTTTAACTCAAAGTTTAGTTAGGCCTTTAAATATCTGAGCCTGCGCTATAAATGGGAAATAAAATACCAATTTGTGTCCATGTCAACGAAGACTTCCCAATGTTGATTGTTTCGCATGTTTCTAGAAATCCATACAAAGAGCCGTTTGAAAGAAATCAAACGGTCCTCTTTATTAGGAGATTTATAGCTCAGTGATATGCTTTTGAAAACTGTGCTGTTGATTATAGAATATTTGTAATATTCTAAAATCAATATTTAATTCTGGCTGTTCTTCACAGCAAGTTTAAAATTTTTTTGTTGTTTCCCACCACATTGTAAAACTCGGATGAAGTTAAAATAGTTTATAGCATTGTGTCAAAATGATTTTATTTTAGATCATCTTTCGTAAAATTATTCTCAACACTATTTTGTACCCGATGAAATTGTCTAAACTTATTTATTCCCTCAGTAAATGTACAAGCAAAGTATTACGATAAAAACAGTTAAGCTCTATATCGAATAACAGAGGCTGTGTCATACTTAAAAACTCCGGATAATCGTAAATTATTTCCAAATAAGATTAAAGGATTTATATATTCCGATAGAGTGATTTTCCGAGAGGATTTAATATTAAGGATGGTTGAAACTAAAACGTCCTGACAATTTTACAGTCCTTTGGTCTGCAATCGCTGCAAGTAGATTTATACATCTGGGAAGTAACGAATGGCTGAAACGTTCGTCCATTTCTGCAGCTTTTAATGGAATCCCATCTCCGATGATATCTCTTCTTACTTTAATCCCTTCCGTAAATCTCTTAACATTGTATTTTTCTTCCAAGTAGTTTTACAAACTTATAAATATCTTACAAAATTGAAACCTTTTGAAGGTTAATTATTTTTGTAAACGTTTGTAAACTTGTATTTACATCTTTCATCTCTCAAACTTGTCACTATATTTACTTGTGAATAGTCTTTAGCAAAAACATTAAATGGGTTATTTATCAAATTTGTCACACCTATGATGAACAGATAATGTTAGGGGAAACCGATGAGACAGTGTTTGATGATACTCCCCTTACAGCAGGGAATAACAAAAAATTGAGCGTCCATTGACATGTCAGACCAAATGATCACTTTATGCACTACAAATCATACACCAAACTAATCAATGGAACTATTTCCCAAATTGATTACGAAGAATAAGACAAATTTGTGAGGATAATTTTTTCGGTGGGACATCCTCGCGTGAGCAGTAGAAAACAAAACGTTGTGACAGTATACCTGCAAATAAAATCATACCCTTTTCGTTGCAAGTAAACATGTACTCAAAAGTTTGGAGATTACTAATCAGGTTTAGATTTATATTGAGACAAGTCTCCATCAGCTGAACAAAGAATCCAGAAGCGAATTTTACTAAGTTTAAATCCTTTTTTATTGATATGTGATCTATGTCGCCTGACAGCTCTTCTATTTACTCCTACATCTCTTCCCTCGTCTGTTTCAGGAGGAGGAGGCCCAATACACAGTGTACTCGCAAGACGGGCTGGAGCAGGCTCTCAGCTTCCTGTCTCTAGAGGCAGACACGGGGAAGTTACATCTCAAGTGTGAAGCTACCATGTACCACTTGTACCGAGGGGTCAGTGAGTTGGAGCTGTGGCAGGAACCTCCTAGACCAGCGAGTGTGCTGGGACCAGGACATAGTGGTGGGTGTTATCTTCCAGATCTGTTTGATTATTGCTAAAGTTCCTTCGTAGACTTACGACGTTTAACTTCCTGTGGAGTATGAGTTCATCAAATGTCTTCCACCAAAAGTGACTACTATCTTTACTTCCTCCCAACTCCTCTTTATGTAAGAAAATGAAGGATAAGGAAAAGATGAAAGCAAAGTGTTGAAAGAGGCTACCTATACATAGGGGATATGTTTAATCATTGATATATTTCCTTTGTAAGCTTTATTCCTTTAACTAACTCTGGGGTAGGAGGTCATCAAGTGTATTCCACTGTCCCCTCTCAGCAGTGGCCACTATATTTACCGTACTACCCCCAACTTATCTATAGATAAGAATAGTAAGGCCATAGAAAAGTTGGAAGCAAAGTGTTAAAAGAGGTAAGACAAAGGGGTTCCAGCCTCTTTTAACATTTCACTTCCAAATACTTATGATCTTACACTCTTTATACCTTCATATCTTCTAGATTCTACTGATACTATACTCTATTTCTTGACTTGGTTCCTTTAGTTTCCCCTAGATAATAAATTCACAAAGTGATTTCCCCTGGACCCTTTTAGCAGTGTATCCTTATTACTTCCCAACTCTTACCTATCCATCTAGCATCCCTATATGTCTAGCCTCTGAGTCCATCTAGCCTCTGAGTCCATCTAGCCACCCTATAAGTCTAACTCCCCATCCATCTAGCCTCTGAGTCAATCTAGCCTCCCTATCCATCTAGCCTCCCTGTCCATCTAGCCTCCCTATCCATCTAGCATCCCTATATGTTCAGCCTCCCTATACGTCTAGCCTCCCTTTCAAAACTATGCTTTCAGCTCTCTCTTGAGTTCCCCTTCTTTTAACACCATGCATGGTCCAATCAAGAGTCTTAATAGCGTATATTCCGATTCCTATCATGTTGGGTATCAATATCCATATCCTCTTTATTACTACCTTCTTTTCCTACGAGCAATCTAGTCGGTGGATATCACTTCTTGCCACCTAATGTTCATAATTGTTTAAAGACGGCAAAAAAAATTCGGATTTTTACTTCTAAGGAGTTTTTTCTTCATGATCTTTGTAACATCTTCGAAGTTTTTTATGTTGAACACTCGTTTGGGAGAACTTATTTTACATTTTGAATGACCACAAATTAGTTGTTCTTTGTTTGATTCTATTTACACACAATATACATTCCTAGGTTATTTAGGTTCTTGTATATTTAGACCAAGATCCCACTGGCTTTTTATCACTTGGACATATCTTTTAGGAAATTTTTGTAATTTGTGATCACATTCAAATACCTCTTCATGGGACTGGAATATTAAAGATTTGTTTTTAAGTATTGATGTAGTGCCTATGATTAATATTATGTATTTTATCTTATTTGACATTTGTCCTTTGTTTATTAATAAGGCGTGTTTTATTCTGGTGTAAGGATTTAGTTTTGATGAAACTCAATCTTTACTCCGTGATAGAACTTCAATCTAAAGAAAACGTGTTTTCATCAGACAATGTAATAATAAATTTAAATACAGGGATCAATTTAAAGATTAGTCATTTTGTTACAATGATTTGGTTTCAATATGATCATTTATATGTTTTGATTTTTCCATTATAGATTTTCTTTGTATTTCATAATTTTAAATGCACATTTTCTTGTGTCTAGGGACGCCACGGCGACTTCATGACAGACTCTTGCTCATTCTTCTGCTCTGTTTCATCCAGCTGACGACCAGATAGCATCATCTGTAAGCGTTGTGTACATATATTAGGGGAAAGGACAATACTGTATTCTATGACAAGTTTTTGGTCTATGTACATTTCCTACTCTTCCAAATAATGTTACCTTGAAAATGCGCTGTCGTTTAGTGGGTAAACGCTATTCGAACTATTTTATTCAACTCTCGAATTTTATCTAAACTGTAAATTGAAAACAGGGTAAATGAAAATTAAATTTTTCCACGTTGTTTATTTAGGGGAATTTCCCTCAGAACCTTTTGTTGAGAGTCGCCCGTGAGTCTTTCATTTTAGGTTTGTAGATGAGTTTGAAAATCTTTTAATTAATTGTGAGTTTACAACGATAGTTTTTTTTCAGGCATATAACTTGTATTGTATTTTTTGTAGGATGACTAAAGGATGACATATATTTTCAGTAAATTATATAATTTGTCTAGATAAAAAAATAACTCTAACTTGAATGGATATCAACAAATTAAAGTTGTTCTGAAGAAACAGGTCAATACACCCTCAATTTTTTCAAGGTTTATACATGTGTTTGTATCAATTAAAATTTCTAATGATGATTTGACACTTTAAAATAATAATGAATACACTCAAGTATTTAAAACTTTTTAATAAATAAAATGTTAGACCCTTCTACAGTTTTTGAGAAGTTAGAAGCTTTCTTAATTAATTAATAGTTGTTCTTAAATCTAGTATATCAGAGAAACGACATCAGGTTAAAGCCTTTATTTATTATTTATTAACCTAGTTGCTACGTGCCTGTGCTTTTACTTTCAGCCAAAAATCATGTTTTATAAGTATTTTTTGAGTTATCTCTAAAATTACGTTATTTCATAATGATTAAAACTCTCTTGATGTCACTGACCAAAGCACGTTGGTTGGCGAAGTAGCCGTTTCATACTTTAAAGTGCTCCAAACCACATCTAACATTACAATCTGAATTGCAAGAGGCGCTATTATAAATTTACATATTTTGGCTTAGGCTTAATTTACTTTGAAATGGGGCCTACTTAACGTTTAATATTTTAAGGTTACTTCTTGATTCCTAACAATGACAAATCAATCGTTTAGGTTTGAATTAATGAAAAAAGAGGTTGAAATTTTGTAAAGGAGATACACAATTTTTCTGTGATGACTAAGACACCCAACATTAACTGTAAAGAAATATGGTTAAAACCCTATTGCTTAAATCTTAGGGGATAAAAATAAGTTTTCCCTGTAATGTTTACATTTAATTTTTTTTATGCATGATAAAAAAACTTTAATCATTTCTAAGGGAAGTGCGTAAAACATATTGTTAGAAATGTTATTATTTTAAAATTATAAATTGCTTAAACACACTCATACTAAAACGAAAAATCTATATTTTATTGCTGTGTATCATATTTTCTAAGTGGAAAATGTTTCGTAAGGTAAATTGAATAATTGATAATTGCTTCATATTTATGATTTTTACGTAAATCTTATAGCCTAATGATAAAGCCGTAGTGATATGCTAATAACAATAATCATTCTTATAATATCTTAACATGCATTCTGTTTTATGTATTTAGTATACGACTTGACGTTAAAACAATCATAGTTTATATTCAGAACATATTTAATTTTGTACATTCAAAAAATGTATCACATCTTTTATGTTTCCAATTTTTTTATACTAAGCAAATTGTCATCAGACAGAAATATCTTAGATCGATAGACATTAAGGTTTAACAACAGCTGTACATTCTTTTTGCAAATACACGAATAATTATACCGACTGGTCAAAATTCAAAATGAAATCTACAGAACAATTTTGTAAAAACTAATAATATTAAGTGTAAAAATGTAGATCAAATGTATGTATAGTTAAATACCTTCCTGTTTTGTATTATATTAATTATAAGTAAGTTGTCAATATACCATGAGTTTTATTAAAACCTTCTTAGTTGTTGAGTAACAGATTTATCAATTTATTGGGATTTTAGTGTTTTTATCAAACCTATTACTCTTTTGGTAGCGTAGGAAAAATAATAACCTTCTTCATGTAATAGTATATTACGTTACTAGTCTTGAAAATAAGTGTTTACCGGACAAGTGTGGTCGTTCCCGTGCGAGACGAAGTCGAGTACGAGATTACCATACGAGTCCGGTACACACATTTTGGACGAGTTACGTACGATAGTTTACGCCATACTACTAAATCTCTACAAATCCTTATATATTTCCACCAACTAAAGGACTGAAATCACTATTCCTAACCTCTAAGAGAGGTTATTTTTTTGTTTATAACCATTCATTGCCACCTAAATACAGTATAATCAGCTGATTGCTGTCCGGCAAAACTCATTACAGTACAGTAGTACGCAATGAAACCCCATTTGTATGAGCTGGTAGCAAACAGCTGTTTTCTGGACTAAATCCCTGCGTGGGAAGTTCGTCAAAAGTAGTGTGGCGTAAAAACATTGTATTACACTGTTTTGAAATCGTTATCAGATAAATGAAAACTACAGGTGGATGAAATTTACAGTTGGACTAGATCATAGCTGTTCAACCTCAATTCTTATTCGATCACTTATTTAGCATTTTATGTGAAAGTGACTTCAAAATACTGGGTGATTTCAAAACCGCACACGTAAGTGGACTTGTTTTCAAAGGCCACTAATGTTTTTTTCTCCCAACCCTTATAAATGTTCTCTAAATCTCGTACGCCACGTTAATTAACAGCGTGGGTTCCAGCCCTGCCATAGGGGTGCAATGCAAACGCACGAGGCTTTGTAAAGCATTGGGTTAACCTGTGTGTTTGCAGTGCCTATTCATTATCTTCCTCCACACACATAGCTTGCAAGCCCAATTCCTCACTCGTTAACTCATAACCACAACCGGTAAATTAATTGGTTGGGGATGTTTTGTGTTGATTACAAAACGATTGGAAAAGAATCCCATTGGACGAGAATACTATTTTCAGCTTTTTGCTGATTGCAATAAGGTTTGGCAAAGTTTTTTTGGAGCACTATATTGCAACACATTTCATGGCATACATTATTTATGGGTGTAGATGCAATAGTCAAATCCATTTTGATGGTTGAATACATCGACCTTATTTTTTAACTCACTCTTGACTTTTAATAGTGCAAGAACAGTCACAATGTGAAAAATTAATCTGACGTCTTTTTTTATGTAGGTTTTTGGTTGTGTGCGTTTGAGTGTGCTTATGTTTAAGTTGTTATTGTGATAGGGTGAGCCCTGTCGTATTATGCCTAACAGGTTTTAAAACCACAATATCTATTTAAAATAACCTTTGCTGAAGGTCTGGTTTTGAATTATTTCTGAACGACTGTTTTTCAATATTGAAATTTATTTTCATGTGTTAATTTGTTTTAAAAATGTAAATAAAGTTTAGTTGTTTTGTTTAGTAAAGAACACAAGCTCAGTTTTATTCTGCTAAATTTAATCTAGCATTTTGTCATTTCTTAATTTAATATCGTCCGTGATATCACTATTAATTGTGAATCACGTACAGTGACGACGACAGCCACGAAATGTTCCACAGTGTAAATGCTACGAAATCTGTTATTAACTACAGATAGAATAATTTGTTAGATTCCGACCATGTAGATCTAGGCTTACCTACTGTGATAAAGATATATTTTGTGATAAACATATATCCCCTGGGGATACCCGTAAATTAAAAATAATCACAGTTCCTTAAAACACCAATGTTTGATGACAATATACAAGTAATTAGTATCATTGCCTTTCTATTTTACCATGTCCACTGCTGAAGATTTTATTTTAACTTTGTAGTTGAAATGTAGAATTTGTATCAAGTTCCAGAAAAAAACCTCTTAAAATTAATATATACACAGGCATAAGCAAACGACGAACGTTATTCTTTAGGTGAAATTTATTTATTAAATAACGTAAGGTGATTCTGTGCGTCAAACGTTTTGGCAACTGGGAGGTTGTAGAAACCTGGGAGGTGGCTCAAATTAAAGGTATGTATCGGAAAAAGGTCTCTGTCCGTGACAAGTGACATTACAACCACAGTAGGAGCGGTTGACTCTTCTTCACCAAGATTAATTCTACTGTCTCTGCCAGCGTCACACACAACTAATTGATTTTACGTAACTGCTACCAGTTACAATTCAGTCACAGTTGTGGGTCACTACAGTGACAGTGACAGTGACATTGGAGCCACAGTACGAGCGTTTGACTCATCTTCACCAAGATTAATACCACTGTCTCTGTCACGTCAGACACACAACTAATTGCTACAAGGTTACTGCTACCAGTTACAATTCTGTCACAGTTGTGGAACAGTGACAGTGACGTTGTAGCCACAGTACGAGCGGTTGACTCTTCTTCACCAAGATTAATTCTACTGTCTCTGCCAGCGTCACACACAACTAATTGCTTTTACGTTACTGCTACCAGTTACAATTCAGTCACAGTTGTGGGTCACTACAGTGACAGTGACAGATACATTTCAGCCACAGTACGAGTGGTTGACTCTTCTTCACCAAGATTAATTCTACTGTCTCTGCCAGCGTCACATTCAACTAATTGCTTTACGTTACTGCTACCAGTTACAATTCAGTCACAGTTGTGGGTCACTACAGTGACAGTGACAGATACATTGCAGCCACAGTACGAGCGGTTGACTTGTCTTCACCAAGATTAATACCTCTGTCTCTGCCACGTCAGACACACAACTAATTACTACTAGGTTACTGCTACCAGTTACAATTCTGTCACAGTTGTGGGTCACTTCAGTGACAGTGACAGATACATTGCAGCCACAGTACGAGTGGTTGACTTGTCTTCACCAAGATTAATACCACTGTCTCTGTCAGTTTCAGACGCACAACTAATTGCTTGTACGTTACTGCTACCAGTTACAATTCAGCCACAGTTGTGGGTCACTTCAGTAACAGGTACATTGCAGCCACAGTACGAGCGGTTGATTCCGGGTTAATTCATCTGCACTAAGATTAATACAACTGTCTCTGCCAGCGTCAGACATACAACTAATTGCTTTAACGTTGCTAAAACCAGTTACAAAGGTTTATTTAGGTGCGGTTTTGTTATATTTTACAATTATATGAGTAGAATACATACGAATATATATATCGTTAAATTAATACAAATATTACCATTCACTTATTTATTTCTAAAATAAAATTTCATTACAGTAGTAGAGAAATTTGGGCCAAGTGAAATTTAGTTTATTGTAGCTTATTGGTTCTAATGAATATGAGTAGGGTAAATTACCACGTAGATTTTTTTGAATGGAATGTATGAATTAATTATTATTTAATAACAGAAACAAGTGTATGAGCAGAGTTAAATAAATAAGTTGTAATTAAAGAATAATCTATGAATTTGGAAGTGGGTATTGCCCCGCAAATCACTTATAAAATAAAAACGATACATAATGGTAATCCAAAGTTACAGTATAGGGCTGTAACGCTATCGGATGTTACATTATTATCTTTCACAGGAGTAGGACCATCAA